TCCTCTTCTTCCCCACAAACCCATTGCTTTAACGCTGCCTGCTTCTGCACCCACAATTATGACTCTATCATCTCTTCTCTACTCCTTCATCTTCCTCAACGTACTTTTAATAACTACTCAACCATCTCACCGGTTTCTTGCATTAGCCGCTGGTGGTGGCCGATGGCAACTACTCCAGAGAAGCATTGGCATCTCAGCCATGCACATGCAACTCCTCAAAAACGACCGCGTCATAATTTACGATCGCACCGACTTCGGCAAATCCAACATCTCCTTGCCGGCCGGCAAATGCCGCCGAGAAACTAACGAGACTGCTCTCAGAGTAGACTGCACCGCACATTCTGTCGAATACAATGTTCTCAAAAACACCTTCAGGCCGTTGATGGTGCAGACGGATGTCTGGTGCTCCTCCGGCGCTGTCGCCGTCGATGGGACTCTAATGCAGACAGGCGGGTTCAAGATCGGAGAGCGTAAGGCGAGACTTTTCAAACCATGCGATGACGGCTCATGTGATTGGCAAGAAATCAACAACGGAATAAATGTCAGACGATGGTACTCGACCAATCATATCTTGCCAAGTGGTAGTCAGATTGTCATCGGCGGTAGAAAACAGTACAACTACGAGTTTTTTCCCAAGACTTCGGCTCCAAACACATATAATTTACACTTCTTGATGCAGACAAGCGATCGAGAAGAAAACAATTTGTACCCATTTGTTTATCTTAATGTTGACGGTAATTTATTTATCTTCGCTAATAATCGAGCTATCTTGCTTAATTATGTGACTAATAAGGTGGTGAAAACCTACCCGACTATGCCGGGTGGTGAACCGAGATGCTACCCGAGTACCGGCTCTTCTGTTATGCTTCCACTCAAAAACCTCCAAGCTCCGGCAATCCAAGTTGAAGTTATTGTCTGCGGTGGTGCACCTGCTGGTTCTTATAACAAAGCCAAGAGAAATTTATTTGTTGACGCCTTGAAAACCTGCGGAAGGATCAAGATAACCGACCCGAATCCCCAATGGGTAATGGAGACAATGCCTCAATCCAGAGTCATGGGTGACATGATCCTGCTCCCAAACGGCAACGTTCTGATAATCAACGGCGGCGCCAAGGGAAGCGCCGGGTGGGAACTCGGCCGGGACCCGGTTTTAGCTCCAGTTATCTATCGACCGGATAATGCAATCGGGTCACGATTCGAGACTCAGAACCCGTCAACCATTCCTCGCATGTACCATTCCGCAGCCATCTTGCTTCGCGACGGGAGGGTGCTCGTGGGCGGTAGTAATCCCCATATTTACTATAACTTCACCGGAGTAGTTTTTCCGACCGATTTAAGTTTAGAGGCGTTTAGTCCTCCATATTTGGACTGGAAAGTCTCTAACTGGCGGCCAAAGATTGTGTCACCCGCATCGGAATTCAAGCTCAGGTACAATGAAGACCTGAAAATACGGTTCACATTGACGGCGAGGAATGTAACTGAGAAAAATGTGAGGGTGACAATGGTGGCGCCATCATTTACGACTCACTCCTTTTCAATGAATCAGAGATTATTAGTACTGACAACGGGGAAGCTGATTAGTTTAGGAAAATCCGGCTACGATATTTCAGTAACAGCACCTCCTTCAAGAATTCTCGCACCGCCTGGATATTATCTGCTGTTTGTTGTCAGCGAGGAGATACCAAGCGAGGGAATTTGGGTCAACATTCAGTGAGTTGGTTGGTTTTTTTTTTTGGTCTCGGAGGATACATATTTTTTATAATACAAATACAGATAGAGAGGGAAACAATATAGTTTTCTATTTTCATGTTTGGATTTAATTAAGAACTAATTTAATAAAAATCCAGTAGTTTATGTCAAATCAAAGTTATACAGATGAAATTTAAAACTATATTTTTGGAAAATCTGGCTCCTGACATATTATAATTATTAAATTAATTGTATTCAAATTTATTAATTAAAAAAAAAAAATCTTTTAATTACTTGATTGACATAATTTTTTATTAAACTAATAATTTAATTTAATTAAATATATATATATATTATGAAAGAAAGGTCATATTGATTTTGTATAAGGAATAAATATAAAATTAAGTTTTTCAAAATGAAGAAAGAATTTTTTTTTTTTTTTTGTTAATAAAAAAAAGCAGCTATTAGTATCAGAAATGTGAAAAGGTAAGTTTGGTTTTGTGCGAGTATTTTTCTGAGTTGATTAAGGATGTACTGGTAGTGTGTGTGTGTGTGTGTGTATATATATATATATATATATGTGCTGACTAGTCAACAGGCCTATGCTGTTCGTTCGATCCGCGGTGGTTGTGGGCAGGTGGGTATATCCATTTTTTATTTAAAAAATATTTTATAATTAATTAAAAAAATTAATAAACATAACGGGCTCAGCCGGTGTTTGATGGGCCAAATTGGCTCAAGAGATTTGCGATCACTGGGAACCAAATTTTCAGATCTGACACCCTGTTTTAATACTTTGAATCCTGCACCTTTCCCTTTATTTCTTCTTCTTCTTTTTTCTTTTCTTTTGATACATTTATTTGTTTCATCATCTCTGTTCTATCAAATTGCTGCTCATTACCACAAATTTATTCCACCAGCATCAGAATAAAACAATTATCCATCACGCCATTTTTCTAAATAACAATCAATTTTCTATTATGCATCAATTTAACACAAAAGACCAGCTCCACGCGTCTTACTTTACATGCCAACTTCTCTCTCTTCCCTCCCCTAAGATTTAAAGCACCTCCTCCGTCACCCAACGCTACATCATCCATGGCTACTCTCAACATCAATCTCTGCTCCTTCATCTTTCTTCTCATCCTCTTCACAATCCAACCATCTCACCGCTCCCACGCCATAGCCTCCGGCACCGGCCGATGGCAAATCCTGCAAACCAGTGTAGGCATATCCGCCATGCACATGCAACTCCTCCACAACGACCGCGTCGTCATCTTCGATCGGACTGATTTCGGCCGATCAAATCTCTCATTGCCCAACTCTCAATGCCGCAACGACGTCAACGATACTGCTCTCGCCGTTGACTGCACCGCTCACTCTATTGAATACCATGTTCTTTCTAATATGTTTCGGCCTCTCACGGTACAAACCGATGTTTGGTGCTCCTCTGGTGCTGTCATGCCCAATGGTAGTCTGATCCAGACCGGAGGTTTCAATGACGGGGAACGGAGAGTCAGAGTTTTCAACCCATGCGACGGCTGTGATTGGGAAGAAATCGACAACGGATTAGCTGCCCGCCGATGGTATGCTACTAATCATATTCTGCCGGACGGCCGGCAGATTATCATCGGCGGCAGAAGACAATTCAACTACGAGTTTTATCCCAAAACCAGTGCTGCACCCGATACTTACACATTACCTTTTTTGTTGCAGACACGTGACCCAGAAGAGAATAATTTATACCCTTTTGTTTACCTTAACGTTGATGGTAATCTCTTTGTTTTTGCTAATAATCGAGCCATCTTGCTCAATTACACCACTAACAAGGTGGTGAGGAGGTACCCCATGATTCCTGGTGGTGAGCCTCGGAGCTACCCAAGCACTGGATCTTCAGTCCTGCTTCCATTAAAGATTACCCCACAAGGTGTAGTAGAAGTTGAGGTTTTGATATGCGGGGGTGCTCCCAAAGGATCTTACAATCAAGCTAGCTCCAATGGTGTTTTTATGGACGCTCTGAACACCTGCGGACGGATCAAGATAAACGACCCGAATCCTCAGTGGGTCATGGAGAGCATGCCGCAATCCAGAGTCATGGGAGACATGACGCTGCTTCCAAACGGCAACGTTTTGATAATCAACGGCGCCGCCAAAGGAAGTGCCGGCTGGGAACTTGGCCGAAATCCTGTTCTCAACCCCGTAATATACTTGCCCGAAAATGCAACCGGGTCAAGGTTCGAGACACAAGTCCCCTCCATCGTTCCCCGAATGTACCACTCTACAGCCATTTTACTCAGAGATGGGAGAGTACTTGTCGGCGGCAGCAATCCCCATACTTACTATAACTTCACCGGAGTTCTTTTTCCGACGGAGCTAAGCCTGGAGGCATTTAGCCCACCATATTTGGACTATCAATTCTCGAACTTGAGGCCGAAGATCGTGTCGCCGGCGTCTCCTTATAAGTGTTTATACAATCAAACGGTGAAGGTTGAATTTACAGTGAGGACGGCGAGCACGGCCGGGATAAACAAGGTGAAGGTGACAGTGGTGGCGCCATCTTTTACGACCCATTCCTTCTCCATGAATCAAAGGCTACTGGTACTGGGAAAGGAGGAAGTTAGGAGTTTGGGAAAATCAAAGTACGAAATTTTGGTGAGAACACCGGTTTCCAAAAATCTCGCACCGCCCGGATATTATCTACTCTTTGTGGTGCATCAGGAGATACCAAGCGAGGGCATTTGGGTCAACATACAGTAATTTATTTATTTATTTTTTCTTTTCTGTTTTAGTTTTCTTTCACTTCTTCATTATTTAAGAAAACAAACAAAAAAACAAAACATTCTTGGAAGAGTTGTTTGGGGATTTTCCCCCTGAAAATTTGTACACTAATGATTTATTTGTTAATTAAATTTAAAATTCATTGGCAATGACAATATTAATCCCTTGAGAAGAACGCAATTAGGAAGGATTAACTTTTGTCTTTCTCAAACTATTGCTGCGGCTGCCATGTACGTGTACCAGATGCATACAATTAATGTTGTGTTTAAATGGTGGTGCAGCTATAAGTAAATGTGGTTGGACGTATAATAAATAAAATTGACTGAAAGATTATATTAATATATTCCACAATTGAGGGGGGGTAAAATTGTAATTTTAGGGGATGTGGAATGGGTGTCTGCTAGTGTCACGGGCAATAATATTAAGTTCACGTGTGTGATATTCTCCGCCAGCGAATCTCGTGTGTTAAAAGCAGGTTGGAGAAGATGTTGTGAGCCACCTTCGGGGACATGCTTAATATGACGTCGTTTTACGGGCACAATAACCTCCCAACATTCTTTTTTCATCATCTCTGTCTCTCACATGTCTTTTTGTCATTCTCTACCTATAATTGCAAATGTATTAACAAATTTAGTTGATGATGGGATTTTTAAATTTATTATTCTTTATAATATTTCATTTCCAATATGTATAATATTTTCATTTAATTCTACACTTGAAATCAAATAATATATATATATATATTTTAATCAAATCAAATTTGCATTAGACAAATTTTTCTTTTCTTTTTTTTTTTTCTGAAAACCACCGAAGGCCCATTCTCTTATAAATCCATTTCCAAAGCCATACCCAATTCAATTCCCCCACTCTTTCCCTAAAACCCTAGCCCACCTGCTCTCTCTCCATTCACTTTTCCAAAACCCTAATTTCCTCCCTACTATATATACTCTCACTTTTCTTTCTCCCAAACGCAGCGCCCACCCTAACTCTCGCCTCTCTTCCACTCTGTCACTGACCGTCCTCTGTTTCATGCTAGGTTACCCAATTCATAGACATCAACTTCATGGGGTAAAATTTTCCATTTTTTGTGGATTTGTTTTGTGCATTACAAATTCAAACATATGAACTTCACATGATTTCCAATGTAATGGATATTGTGTTTTTATTGTTGTTTATCTATCTTGCTGGGCGTCAATAATGCCTTCTAGTCCGAATCTTGCGTTGGGTACAGCTTCTGATCAGTGTAAACAGTAATATCCATTACTTTGTTAATCCTTTATTCAGCTTTGCATGTGTTGGCACCTTGATTGGAAGAGGTCAAATGATGAACAAATTCAAGTTTCCGAATCTCGGATAGTTAATCTGGGTACTGTGGTTCGTTACTTGAATAGGAAGATCTGATGCCTCTAACATTTTATAAACCTTTTCCATAATTTATTGTCCTTTTTGGTTTAGAAATTTATTCTTGAGAATATATTGCGATTTGCTTTTTTGCTTTTCTTTTGAGTTGTATTTTGTCATTCAACACTGTGTATGACGAGAATATATGAAGTATACAGTTATCCCTGGCTGACATGTAAGTGCTGATATTTCATATGGACTGACACTAATCTCTGCCAAATACTTTTTTCAAAAAAAAAAAAAAAAAACCTGTGTTTCTCATTTTTTACTTTACACGATGATGAAGCCAATGATGCAGAAATTTAGAATTTTCAGAACAAAAGATGTGTTGAAACTTCTGAACTAGGACGGTCTGAGGTTTCTCTGACACTTGTTTTTGCTTGCTTTTCTCAAATTTATGTTTTACGAAGTAGCACTCCCATGTTTGTGGATGATGAAAAGGAAAAATTCAACAGTTATCCCTGGCTGATTTTATATGCTGATAGTTTGTTGGCTGACACGAACACACGGGATTTTTTTTTTTTTTTTTTTGTGTTGTTGTTACAAGTTCAAGTGTAGTTGCATTATCTTTTTTGTCTTAATTGTGCCATGTTTGGAACAGAGAAGATGAAGATAGATACTGCATAATGCGTTTTTTGATTTCTATGGAATTTATGGCCATGGAGGAAAGAAGATTCGCAATGGGTTTAGCTTTCAATCTGTTTGGCACATTTTGTTTTTGTTAATGACAAATGGATTCAAGTGTCAGAATACTCCGATTTTAAATGATACAATTATCTCTTTAAACTCGAATGAAATTTCATATATTCTGATTAGAAGTTAATTTTTAGAAACTGCAATAGCGATTGCATTTGCATTTGCATTTGCATTTCTCTGTATATGAAGTGTTTTAACTTGTAAGTTATCATTATGGATGATGATAATATATGAAGTATAAATTATAGGCGCTGATATTTCACCGCAGGTTACTTGCTATTATTTCTTAATCTAATGGTTCACACTTCTGGGAGTTCTTTAGACATGATATATCCAGTAAGTTTAATATACGGATCAGGGTCCATAGGACCAAATAATAGTGGCTTTTAAGGCGTGAATGTGAACTCTATTTGCAATGTGAGAGACAATATAACAAAATCAATATGATATAACATGAATTTTATTCAATCCGTGCATAGCAATATTTGAAATGTCAGAAAGGAAAATGTTAGTTTGATGCAGAAATGATGCGAAACAAAGACGGAAAATGTTTGAAATGGGTTATGGTAGCGCCTATGATAAGGGCAGAATTATCTGATTCAATTGGTTCATCGGTTTAGAATTTGGATAGTTAAGAATTTGATGGTCAAATTAGATATGAA